TATTATTATTATTATTATTATTATTATTATTATTATTATTATTATTATAACGTCTTTGCCATTGCCTGTAGAAGACAAGTCTTCAAATTCCCAGACAAAAGTAGGCCAATATCTTGTCGAGTATTTCTATCTGCTTGTATTCTAGGTCCTAGTCCGCCCATGTTAAAACTGATAGACAAGGTCGAAGCACCCAACCTTTTACTAGATCTTTATTAAATTGACAATCAGTTTACAAAACGTCATCTCTTATTTGTTTTTCTGTCAAATATCGAAATTTACCGTTGCATCCTCAGTTGTTAAAAATCTTATCTTTTAAAAAATGTAAATTCTGTCTTTAGAATAAACCCAGGCTTTGTTTATTTAAGTGATTTGACACATTTCTTAAAACAAATAGACAAACAAACAATCAACCAAAAAGTACGTCACAATGCGAAAGCTTCTTTTACAGAACTGTAACAACATTAAAGAGTTATTGATTACAGATTACAAACAAAAGCAAAACGATGCACAATGGATGGTAGAAACAGAAAAAAAATGTTTTTAAAACGACAAACAAACAAACAAAAAATAACAATGAAAACTTAGAACTGGAGAAGAAGACAAACGTGAATTTGTAATCCGTAGTTCTGTATGATTTAAGCACCCGTCGACACAAGTTAAATAATTCAGGGGGGGGGGGGGCTTCTTCGACACTGTCTGTCACGGCCAAATAGACTGAGCGGAATACAGCGTCACTGCAGTCAGGATATACTCGATTTAGAAAACGTTGACGGTTCGGGAAATGAACTAACATCATCGAGAGAGAGAGAGACAATGAAGAGGCCAACTTATACTCCACATATATCATGGTGGAGAGGTATGCCTGCACTTGAAAGAGAAGAAGAAGAACAGCAGCAACAACAACAACAAGATGGAGGAGTACGGTGTCCAACCTATTCCCGGAAACTGAACCGTGATGACTTTGTCCGGGAGCTAAATATAGAGTCACAGAGATGTATTGAGGGGAAGTGAGAGAGAGAGATGAATGGACTTGTGAACACGTCACACCGGAAATGGGTGAGGGTGTGGAGACGGAGAGGGTAAAAGAAGAGAATGCTTTGAGGATTAAGATGGTACAGTATTAAGATTAGAGAGATGATTCATGAAGGGAGAAAGAGAAATAGAGAGAGAGAGAGAGAGACAAA